ATAGAGACACCGATATTAAAATAATGCTATTGTGTCTCAAAACATTAATTTCAGAATCTCAGCAAGAGCAGGTGACCCTCTTTCTCCAGACTTAAGGCCCAGGCTCTCTGCAGGATTTTAAGACAAGACCCACAAGGGTTACACTCAGCGACCCTTCCCTAGCTTTAGAACTAATCACCTTCACTCAATCTCCCTGCAGCTGGGGATACAGAGCCTCCATACCACGCATCTATCTACCCCCTGAAAACTAAATTCAATCTTCAAAACTATCTCTTCAGAACTCTATTTCCATTCTATTTAAAATACACCATTTCTCATTTAGCAAATAACTCTGTACTCTCAAAGTATGAATTATACTAACACACACAAAAGATGATAAAGTATAGCTACAAACCTGTCTATCTTGGAGAGATGCCTGAAACCAGTCACCAGCTCATTTTATATGAATACTGTAACTTTCCACAACTGATCTTAATGGGGTTCACTCATCCTCTGAGACTACTATATGAGAAACTATAAAGACATCCTTTCTTGAGAAAATGCTAGAGATTAAAGATAGAAGTACTTGGGACAGTGCTGTGATACAGGCAGATTAAGCCCTTGTCTGCAGCGCCATCATCCCATATGGGCCTTACTCCACTTCCAACCCAGCTTCCTGCTAATGTGCCTGGGAAAGCAGTGGAGGATGGCCCAAACTGAAGATCTCTCCTTCTGTCTTTCCCTCTATGTAACTCTGCCTTTCAAAAAATTTTTAAAATCTTAAAAAAAATCCTAAATTCCAAGTCTATATTGATATATTAGACTCAAGACAAAAATGATTAAAAGAAAATGGGGTGGGGTGTAGCACTGTGGTTTAGCGGGTAAAGCTACCACCTACAGGGCCAGCATCCCATATGAGTGCCATTTTGAGTCCCAGCTGCTCCACTTCCGGTCCAGCTCCCTGCTATGGCCTGGGAAAGCAGTAGAAGATGGTCCACATCCTTGAGACCCTGCACCCGCGTGGGAGACCCAGAGGAGGCTCCTGGCTCCTGATTGGTGCAGCTCCAGCTGTTGCAGCCAATGGGGAGTGAACCAACGGATGGAAGACCCTCTCTGTCTCTGCCTCTCCTCCTCTGTGTTAACTCTAACTTTCAAATAAATAAATAAATTAAAAAAAAAAAAAAAAAAAAAAAAAAGATGGCCCAACTTCTTGGGCTCCTGCACTTGCATAGGAAGATCCAGAGGAAGTTCCTGGCTCTGGATCAGCACAACTGCAGCCATTGCGGCCAACGGGGGAGTGAACCAGTGGATGGAAGACCTCTCTCTCTGACTCTGCTTCTCTCTCTGTGTAACTCAAATAGATAAGGAAGGAAGGAAGGAAGGGAGGGAGGGAGGGAGGGAAGAGAGCGAAAGACAGAAAGAAACAGAAAAAAAGAGGGGTGGCATGGTGACTTAGTAAGTTAAGCCTTTGCCTATGATGCTGACCTCCCATATGGGCGCCAGCTACTCCACTTCTGATCCAGCTCCCTGATAATGTGCCTGGAAAGCAGCAGCAGATGTCCCAAGTGCTTGGACCTCTACCCAATGTAGGAGACCTGGAAGAAGTTCCAGGCTCTTAGCTTCAGCCTCATCCAGTACTAATGGTTGCGGCTATTTGGGGTGTGAACCAGCAGATGGAAGACTTGTCTTTGTCTCTCTCTCTCTCTCTCTCCCCGCCCACTCTCTCTCTTTCCAAACTGCCTCTCCTCCTCTAATTCTGCTTTTCAAATAAGTGAAAAGTAAATTTTTTTAAAAAAAATGAAACCCTATAAACAGAAAAAATGCCAATGCAGTCACAACTCTGAAATAATAGAGGAAAGTGTAAAATTTTATACAGTAAATATATGTACAGGAAATAACACAACTTATATCTTCTACCAAGCACACACACAAATGCAGTATCTATGCTGTGTGAATTGCAAGGCTCAAAAACACATAACACAAAATAGAAACAAACTTATTAATTAGAAATGGTGAAGATTCTATATAATATACCACACTTAAAATTACTATTAAAAATTTCACTAAATTATAAATCTAATTATTTCCTGCTTTGGATGATATAATGCCTATCTATGTGCATAAATACAAAATAATAAATTCATTTTTATAAAGTAAAAATTTACATCAACTTAGTACAGTTTACCTCTACCTAAAAAAAAAAAAAATTTTTTTTAAAGATTTATTTATTTGAAAAGCAGAGAAAAAGAGAGAGAGAGGGAAAGACAGAAAGATGGTTTCCATCAGGTGGTTTACTTCCCAAATAGCTGCGAAGTCCTGGGCTGGGCCGAGCTAAGCCAGCTTTATCAGGTTTCCCACATGGGGCAGTGCACTTATTCCATCATTTGCTGCCTTTCCAGACACATTAGCAGGGAGCTGGATTGGAAGTTGAAAAGCTGGGACTCCAACCTGCACCCATACGGAATGCCAGCCTTGCAAGCAGCGGCATACCCTGCTGTGCCACAACACTAGCCCCTACCTAAAAATTTTAGTAGCATTTAAATTAAGTTTCCATAAACTGATGTTTAATTTACAACTTCAAATTTATAGAATTAACTAGGTTCCACTACACAGAAAAGTTTTCTTTAACCCAAAATTTATAAAACATACTCATCCCACAAAAATTTTAGTAGAGTGGTACTTAGCATAATATTCCATATCAAAGTGCTTGCATTCAAGTCGTAGTTCTGCTCCCAACTTCAGCTTCTTGCTAATACCCACCACCCTGTGAAGCAGCAGATGCTGGCTCAAGTAGTTGGGTCTCAGCCATCCATACAAAGGAGATGCAGACTGAGTTCCTAGCACTTGGCTTTGGTCTGGTCCAGCCCCAGCTGTTGCAGATACTTGGGGAGTTAACCAACAGATAGGAGATTGATCTCTCTCTCTCTCTCTTTCTCTCTCTCTCTCTCATATAACATAAATAATGTCATGTCAGTGAGGTTTAGGTGTTTTGCTTAACAATTCAGGCACCATTTGGGACACCTGCAGCCCATATAAAAGTGCCTGGGTTCCAATTTCAGCTCCACTTCCAATTCCAGCTTTCTGTTAATGCACTCCTTGGGAGGCAGCAGGTGTTGGCTCCTTACCACCAACAAAGGAGACCCAAACTGAGTTCCAGCTCCTCCCTCAGCCTAGCCCAGACCAGCTATTGCAGGCATCTGGGGAGTGAACCACCAGAAGTGAGCTTCGTTGGTCTCTATCTCTATCTCTTTTTTGTTTTTTAAGATTTATTTATGAGCCGGCGCCGTGGCTCAATAGGCTAATCCTCCACCTTGCGGCACCGGCACACCGGGTTCTAGTCCCGGTCGGGGCGCCGGATTCTGTCCCGGTTGCCCCTCTTCCAGGCCAGCTCTCTGCTATGGCCAGGGAGTGCAGTGGAGGATGGCCCAGGTGCTTGGGCCCTGCACCCCATGGGAGACCAGGAAAAGCACCTGGATCCTGGCTCCTGCCATCGGATCAGCGCGGTGCGCCGGCTGCAGCGGCGGCCATTGGAGGGTGAACCAACGGCAAAGGAAGACCTTTCTCTCTGTCTCTCTCTCACTGTCCACTCTGCCTGTCAAGAAATTAAAAAAAAAAAAAAAAAAACAGATTTATTTATTTGAAAGTCAGAGTTACACAGAGAGAGGAGAGGCAGAGAGAGAGAGAGCTCTTCCATCCACTGGCTCACTCCCCAGTTGACCGCAATGGCCGGAGCTGCGCCCATCCGAAGCCAGGAGCCAGGAGCTTCTTCTGGGTCTCCCACGTGGGCGCAGGGGTCCAAGAACTTGGGCCATCTTCTACTGCTCTCCCAGGCCATAGTAGAGAGCTGGACCAGAAGAGGAGCAGCTGGGACTAGAACCAGCACCCATATGGGATTCCGGCACTTCAGGCCAGGGTGTTAACCCACTGTGCCACAGCGCTGGCCTCTCCCCCACCCCCACTCTTGCTCTCACACTCTGTGTGTGTGTGAGTGAGTGTGTGTGTGTGTGTGTGGTGTGTGAAATCTTTGTCAGGGGCCACTGCTGTAGTGTAACAGGTAAAGCCACCACCTTCAGTGCTGGCATCCCATATGGGCACTGGTTTGAGTCCTGATGCTCCACTTCTGATCCAGGTCTCTGCTGTTGCCTGAGAAAGCAGTAGAAGATGACCCAAGTCCTCGGACTCCTGCACCCACATGGGAGACATGGAAGAAGCTCTTGGCTCCTGGCTTTGGATCAGCCCAGCTCCAGCTGTTGTGGCCATTTGGGGAGTGAACCAGCAGGTAGAAGACCTCTCTCTCTCTAACTCTGCCTTTCAAATAAATAAATAAATCTTTTTTGAAAAAATCCATGTCAATGCAATGAAATTTCTAAGAATTAGAAGTCAAACATATAAATGGTTCTATAAGTGACTATTGAAACTCAAAAGTAAAAGAGAGGCAGAACTGCAGCTCTGCAGTACTCCCATTTGGCCTCTAAGAACAAGCCATCTTGACATCTAAAACAAGACTGTTGGCTGGTGCCGTGGCTCACTACGCTAATCCTCCGCCTAGCGGCACCCACACACCAGGTTCTAGTCCCGGTCGGGGCACCGGATTCTGTCCCGGTTGCCCCTCTTCCAGGCCAGCTCTCTGCTGTGGCCAGGGAGTGCAGTGGAGGATGGCCCAAGTGCTTGGGCCCTGCACCCCATGGGAGACCAGGAAAAGCACCTGGCTCCTGCCATCAGATCAGCGTGGTGCGCCGGCTGCAGCACGCCGGCCACGGCGGCCATTGGAGGGTGAACCAACGGCAAAGGAAGACCTTTCTCTCTGTCTCTGTCTCTCTCACTGTCCACTCTGCCTGTCAAAAAACAAACAAACAAAGAAACAAACAAAACAAAACAAAACAAAAAAAACACAAGACTGTTTATCTACACAGCATGAAAAAAAAAAACTACAGGGAAGATTCAGTCTGTTAAGAACAGGAGGCTGCCTCAAGAACTTAGGCTGTTGGATGCCTATCTGAAATGTGGAATGTGAGGATTACCTCAGCAACTTTCGGAGGTACTCCGTCCCCAAGCACTTCCCTGATGAAGCAGAGCTGACCCATGTAATATGAGAGTCCACAGGTCCTCTTGAAGGCATCTTTGAGTCGTTTTAGCTCCACATCGGTAACTGCAATTCAGAAAAAGAAGATAAGTAAGAAACCAGGAGATAAAGTATATGTCTCAAAACCTTTTCTCAATCTGATCTCAAAGAAAAATTGGCAAATATTACTTTTCTCTTGTAATACTGGAAAATACAACAAATCCAATGATATTTACTCATGATTCTAATTTTCAAATCCAATATTAAAAAAAGGATGCAAACTGTTGACCTGCTATTTTTAAGACACACTATAAATACGCATAGAAATTTTAGGAAGGGGCAAGAAAGAAGTAACAAACACATCAAATGATGGGTAAGCTAAATAGCATTGGTCTCCAGCATTAATGTTTTCAGCTGCAATACTCATTCCCTTTGTGATAAAAAATATATTATTTGTACATCTTGAGCACATCTCTTGATGCACATGGAAGACAGTCTCTAAATTTAGCTTACACTTTGTCAACACATACAAAGAAAATAATTTCTAAGTAGATGTAATAACCACCTAAAATGTTTAGATGCCCACTTTAAAAGACAAAAAGATTACTGAGTCTCTACTTATTTTAGGCACTGAAAACTTTTTTTTCCCTGTTAGAAAAATCTCTGTCTACAGGATAGAGAAATAGGTACCTTTTAAATAAATATGTAGTCAGTACCACAATCACAATGGAGGCAAAAAATGGTACCTTAGAGCACTGCTGAAAGAAACAGGAGTCTGAATGAAGAGGAGGATTATATTAAAATGTAAAGGCTGGGTCTGGCGCTGTGGCATATTGGGTAAAGTCGCCACCTGCAGTGCCGGCATCCCATATGGGTACTGGTTCCAGTCCCAGCTGCTCCTCTTCCAATCCAGCTCTCTGCTATGGCCTGGGAAAGCAGTCCTTGGGCCCCTGCAACTTCGTGGGAGACCCGGAAGAAGACCTTGGCTCCTGGCTTCGGATCAGGACAGCTCCAGACATAGTGGCCAGCTGGGGAGTCAATCAGTGGATGGAAGACCTCTCTCTGCCTCTCCTCTCTTTAACTCTGACTTTTAAGTAAATAAATAAATAAATAAATCTTAAAAAAAGAAATGTAGGCCGGCACCACGGCTCAAAAGACTAATCCTCCGCCTGCAGCGCCGGCATACCGGGTTCTGGTCCCAGTCGGGGACCAGATTCTGTCCCGGTTGCTCCTCTTCCTGTCCAGCTCTTTGCTGTGGTCCGGGAAGGCAGTGGAAGATGGCCCAGGTGCTTGGGCCCTGCACCCACATGGGAGACCAGGAGGAAGCACCTGGCTCCTGGCTTCGGATCGGCACAGTGCGCCGGCCGCAGCAGCCATTGGGGGGTGAACCAACGGAAAAGGAAGACCTTTCTCTGTCTCTCTCATTGTCCATTCTGCCTGTAAAAAAAAAAAAAAAAAAAAGTAAAGGCTAACCCAAGCACAGGGACACAGGCAGAGGGAATAACTTCCATCAGAAGACAATGGTGTACAGAGAGGTATCGCATATTACTAGAATGAGAATAGTAAATAATAAACCTAGAGAAGCAGAGACCAAGTCACAGAGACTGTTCAGTCCTAGTAAGGAAGGGATATACCTTCAGACACAATTCAAATACTAACTCCAGGCAGAAGAGAAACAACACAGTCAGATACAATGTAGATATCTCAGTCTACCAATAGCATAGACAATACTACAAAACTGGAAAGCAGTATGTAGACTGCCACAAGAGCAGCAGCTACATCTGGAAAATATCAAGAAGAAAAATTCAGAACCTGAAGCTTCACTGCGAATAGAGAAGGCCAAAAATAATACCTAGGTTTCTATCCTAGGAAACTTGTTTATTTGTTGGAAAGATAGAGAAAAAGAGACAGAAATTTTCCACCTACTGATTCACTTCCTAATTCCACCAACAGCCATGGCTAGGCCAGGCTAAAGTCAAGAGGCTGGAACATAATCTGGGGCTCCCACAAGGATAGCAGGGACACAAGTATTTGAGACATTACGTGTTGTGTCCCAAGATACACATAGGCAGGAAGCAGAGCTGTGACTGGAACCCAGGCACTCTGCTTTGGGATGCAGGTATCCCAAGAGGCATCTTAACCACTGAGCCAAAAATTCACCCATGTCGGCCGGCGCCACGGCTCACTAGGCTAATCCTCCGCCTTGTGGCACCGGCACATCGGGTTCTAGTCCCGGTCGGGGCGCCGGTTTCTGTCCCGGTTGCCCCTCTTCCAGGCCAGCTCTCTGCTGTGGCCAGGGAGTGCAGTGGAGGATGGCCCAAGTACTTGGGCCCTGCACCCCATGGGAGACCAGGAGAAGCACCTGGCTCCTGCCATCGGATCAGCACGGTGCGCCGGCCGCAGCACGCTGGCCGCGGCGGCCATTGGAAGGTGAACGAACGGCAAAAGGAAGACCTTTCTTTCTGTCTCTCTCTCTCACTGTCCACTCTGCCTGTCAAAAAAAAAAAAAAAAAGGAAAAAATTCACCCATGTCCTGGAAAACTTTAAGGATAGCATTATCTTATAGACAGGAAACATAAGAAAGGAATAAATCAGGGAGAAAAGATGATAATCTCTGTTAAGGACAATGAGAGTAAAAGACCTTACGCAGATGCATTGGGTATATAGAATTACAAATGTGAAGCTTGAGTTTCAAGGGAGTCATTAACATACAGGTAGTAATGAAAGCCATGCAGAGGAAGCACAAGAAACACACACTGGAAAAATCAATGTTTACACTGTCTAAAAAGGAACAAAGTTGATAAGGAATGTAAGAAGGGCAGAAGCAGATACCGAAGAATGTGTTTTCCAAAAGCCAGGGAATCAACAGTTCCAAGTAAGGCAGAAAGGACCAACAAGATAAAGACTGAAGAGGGCCTGGCCCATAGCTTATCACTCAATAAATGTTTATGGTACAGAGGGAGGGTTCATGGTTCAACAGCATGTACAGCAATGATAAAACAACAAAACTAATACCTCCATAAGTCTCTAGAGAAAAGTGCAAATATTAAGTGCTTAACATTAAAAATTGGGCTCATTAACATCTCTAATATACTAATTCAATTTTATTTTTCATTTAAAACGTTAAAGTGAAAAACAGAACAAAGCTCATCTCATTAATTACAGTAACAGAGGAGACAACTACAGCTACCACGTTATCTATTTCTTCAAGATGTCTAGTTTTTAGGGGCTGGTGCTGTGGCATAGCAGGTAAATCCACTGCTTGCAGTGCCAGCATCCATATGGGTGCTGGATCAAGTCCTAGCTGCTCCACTTCCCACCCAGCTCTCTGCTATGGCCTGGGAAAGCAGTAGAAGTAGAAGATGACCCAAGTGCTTGGGCCGCTACACCTGCGTGGGAGACCCAGAAGAATCTCCTGGCTCCTGGCTTCAGACTAGATTGGCCCAGGTCAGGCCATTGCAGCCAATTGGAGAGTGAACCAGCGAATGGAAGACCTCTTTCTCTCTCTCTCTCTCTCTCTCCTTCTCTCCTTCTCTCTCCCTCCCTCCGCCTCTCTGTAACTCTGGCTTTCAAATAAATAAATAAATCCTTAAAAAAAAAAAGATGTCTAGTTTTCATTAATGCCCTTGCTAACTGTACTTATTGGAAGAAACAAGAAAATCAATCACTAGAATATAATACAGTAATCTCCTCCACTGTTGATTAGGGATTATTTGAAGGGTTATTTGGTAAAATATTTTTTAAAAATAGCAAATTGATGACTATTGAATTTATCCAGTCATAATGGAGGGAAACATATTTTTTCAAACATTTATAAGCAAACAGTGTCATATCAACAGAAGACAGATTGAATAAGTTATTGTATACACTCTCAAAACAGAAACTAAAATGTTGCTACAGTACCATATTTGCTGAAATGCCATTTTTATTCATTTATGAAAAGACTTAAGATTTGGCTAATTTATAGATAAGGAGAATATAAACATGTTCAGTGTATAAGTGAAACTTTAAATTGGTATAGAGGTTAGAACACTCACATTCCATATCAGAAAGCTGGGGTTTGAGTTTCCCTACCACTTCCCACCCAGCTTCCTGCTAATGTACACCCTGGGGAGTAAATCAGTACATGGAAGATCTCTTTCTCTTTCTCTCACTCTGTAATTATGCCTTTCAAATACATAAATAAATCTTTTATAAAAAGTTATACGTATGAATTTAATTAACTATACACATATATGTCAATTTTTAAACTATATTTATTTATTTTCATTTTATGTGAAAGGCAGAAAGACAAAAAGAAATGTTCACCTGCTGGTTCACTCACCAAATGCCTGCAACAGCCAAGGCTGGGCCAAATGGAACTCAGTCTAAGTCTCCCACAAGCATGCCAGGAAACCAGCTACTTGAGCCATCATAACCTACTGCCTCACAGGACACACATGAGCAGGAAGCTGGAATCAGGCGCCAAGCTTGGGCTTGAACCAAAGCACTCTGATATGGGATGCAGGCATCCCAAAGGGTAACAACTGCAGCAGCACATGCCTACCCTACTTTTTTCTTTAATTGTGGTATATTTTCATTTTATTTGAAGGCAGAGAGAGAGACAGAGAGACTGTTTTAAAATGTCTAAGCCAAATCAGTAGGAAAAAGAATAGTCTTTTCTATAAATAGTGCAGAAACAATAAATATTCATATGCCAATAATAAAGAACCCTAACCTAACCTCATACTATGTACAAAATTACCTCAGGGCCAACGTTGTGGCGTAGCAGGTAAGGGTGCCGTCTGCGATGCCAGTATCCAGTCTGGGCACCAACTAGTGTCCTAGTTGCTCCATTTCTGATCTAGCTCCCTGCGAATGGCCTGGGAAAAGCAGCAAAGATGGCCCAAGTGTTTGGGCCCCTGCACCCATGTGGGAGACCCAGAAAAAGCTCCTGGCTTCAGCCTGGCCCAGTCCCAGCTGTTGTGGCTATCTGGGGAGTGAATCAGCGATAGAGGATTGATTTCTCTCTCTCTCCCTCTCTCCTGCCCTCCCTCTTAACTGACTTTCATATAAATAAATAAATCTTTTTAAAAAATTATCTCAAA